TGCTGGATAGCTGTAGCTTTGTCTCCTCCTCCATCAGGGTGGGGATGACTTCAGCAGAAAATGGGAGCTCTGGGGGACCAGAATGGGAGGGCGATGGGGATGGCGGCCCAAGCTGATGCTATTGCTCTTTGGTTTTCAGTCTGAGGACTCTGACCTGCCTTACCCACCACCCCAACGGGAACCCAACATCTTCATGGTCCCCCAAGGGATCAAACCGGTCCTGCAGCGCACGGCCATCGAGGTGAGTGGCAGGGAGTGTGTGGGGCAGCCAGCAAGGGGGTGGCATGGGTAGGGTGGCATCCTTAATGGGGATCCTTGCTAGGGATTGACACTGGAATGGGTTGCAAGGCAGCTGCATGGCTGCAGGGCTGGGAACTGGTTCGACCCATGAGCTACCAACCAGAGATCTCCTTATACCATTATAACAGCAAATCTGGCTCTAGGTTTGCCCTGCGTGGATAAACCACGTGCCTTCCACTCCTCCTGGGTGTAGCTGTCCCAGTGGACCAGTTTCCATTTATCCTCTGTTTCTTTCGTGCACTTGGCACTCCTCCTATTTCCAGGGTGATGAGAAGGCTCCAACCGAGCTGGGGCCTGGGGCAGTGAGCTCCATGGAAGGGTCAGATCCTGGGGCACAGCACAGACCAGGACCACCCTTGCTTTTTAGAATGCAAATCTGCCTCACGTCAGGACGATGGTTCCCCCAAGCAGAGATGCTCTGTTGATAGATAAGCAGTTGCTGACCTGGTTCGTTGCTCTCCCAGCAGCATGCTGTCCACCTGGTCTGCAACTGTCGAGAGGCTGAAGGCAAATGCAGAGGAAGGCTCAGTCTTTTCTCCTTGTTCCTCTTGCCCTGCAGATCCTGGCCTGGGGGCTGAGGAACCTCAAGAGCTACCAGCTGGCCAGTGTCACCTCACCCAGCCTGCTGGTGGAGTGCGGGGGGCAGCTTGTGCAGTCCTGTGTCATCAAGAATGTCAAGAAAAACCCCAACTTCGACGTCTGTGTGCTCTTCATGGAAGTGGTGAGGACCTCTTTGTGGGGTTGGCTGGTAGAGCTGGTTTGGACAATCGTTAGAACCAGAGAATCATTGGGAGGTGGAGGGAATCACAGAAGCGTTTGGGTTGGAAGGGACCTCCATAGAACCATAAAATGGTTTGAGTTGGAAGGGATCTTCAAAGAACCATAGAATGGTTTGGGTTGGAAGGGATCTTCAAAGAACCATAGAATGGTTTAAGTTGGAAGGGATCTTCATAGAACCACAGAAAGGTTTGGTTTGCAAGAGACCTTCAAAGAACCATAGAATGGTTTGAGTTGGAAAGGGTCTTCGTAGAACCATAGAATGGTTTGAGTTGGAAGGGATCTTCGTAGAACCATAGAATGGTTTGAATTGGAAGGGATCTTCAAAGATACTTGGAATGGTTTGGGTTGGAAGGGATCTTCATAGAACTGTACAATGGTTTGAACTGGGAGCGATCTTCAAAAGTACATAGAATGGTTTGAGTTGGAAGGGATCTTCAAAGATCCATAGAATGGTTTGAGTTGGAAGGGACCTTCATAGAAGCATAGAATGGTTTTAGTTGGAAGGGATCTTCATAGAACTGTAGAATGGTTTGAACTGGCAGGGATCTTCGAAGATACTTGGTATGGTTTGAGTTGGAAGGGATCTTCAGAGATGCATAGAATGGTTTGG